TAGCAAAAGCTCTTGCTACCACCCACGTCATTTGCTCAACAAATATTTGTTCTGGGAGCTGGGCTCACAGCACTGAACAAAACAGGCAAAACCCCTATTTCGGAGGAGTTTATGTTTTAGTGCGGAAGACAGATAATAAAATGAATGAGTGAGTAAATTATGTTCCCAGCACAGTTGATTTTTGGATGATGATTTGGCAAAAGTTATGTGCCTGCTCTTTGACCCAGCAAGCCCACCACTAAAAGTTGTGTGTGAAGCTGTGTGCAAAGTCTGTTCTGTTTCATATCATTATTTATCGCAGCAAACACGTGGGAACAATCTAAAAGCTGATTAATGGTAAATAATTTACCATTAAATATAATTGGTAAGTAAATGGTGGTGCTCAGAAACCAGAATTTATAGCTCAATGTGGTGATATTTATTCTAGGATCTGGGCTTATAGCAAATCCTGTGCCCGTGGAGCACAGTCTAGGAACAAGTAAACCATGTGGTCTAAATTGCTTTTTTCAAGGCAGAAACTTCTCTGGGGGACAGGAGACCTCAAGCATTGCACACCTTCCAGGGTTTGTCTAACTGGGCCGGAGCCAGACTGGCTTAACGTGACTACCTGTACGCTGAGGACACTTGCTTCTCTTCCTGTAACAGTATTTGGCGTCTGCATTCAGATTTTAAAAGCCGCTTGCCGTTATTGACTCACAAGTACGCGCTGCCTTTTCTCTCTGGAGTCGGATGTTTCCAGTGAGGCGTCTTGGTCCGCCGGCCTCTGACGTGACCTTGTGACAAAGCTGGGAAACCCCGCTCCTCACTGTTCCCAGAGCCACCCCATTCTGAGGCTGCCCTGGGTTTTACAGGATTAGCTCAGCTCCGAGTCGAGGCCTGTTCACAAACCGACACAGGAACCAGCAGGAAGAGCAGCCCCGGGGCCAGGCTTGGGTCTCCGCCCGCGGCTCCTGGGGTCAGAGCGCATGAGCCAGCCGGGGAAGGACCCAGGGCGGCCGGAAGCCTCCTGGGTCTCAGCATCCAGACCTCCTCCTACCAGGGGCTCCTCTTGCAAGGCCCCCAGGGCCCCTCCCCCTGAGCTGAGTACCAGCCCAGAGTGCTTATCTGGACGCTCCTCTGCTGGACGCCCTCCTTGGTGTCTGGGTCGCTCTCTTGTCGGTCGTGCAGCGAGTCTGCTGTTTTAAATGTGCTGACTTACTGCATCTTCTCACAGCCCTTCACACAGGGGGATGTACCTGAGGTTCCATGAGGCTGCGGGCTCACCCAGCCTGGACTCCACTGTCCCCTCTGTGACCCACCCGCCGTTCTCTCCTGCCCCCCTCTCCCCGGTGGGATATTGTCTTGGTTCTCCACTTGCCTTATGTGTGGGCAGAGCTATAATTATCATTATATCATTTAGTTATATATCAGTGTATTGTAATCATATTAGTATATATGTTACATGTTAGTGTGTTATATGTTATATATTAGTATAGTACATATGTTATGTATCAGTAAATTACATGTTATGTATTTGTATATCATGTTATATATTCGAGTATTATATATTATATATTAGTGTATCATACATGTTATTATTAGTGTATTACAGGTGTTAGGTATCAGTATGTTATGTTATGTATGGGTATGCCATACGTTATGCATTCGTGTATTATATATGTTGTGTATTAGTGTATCCTACATGTTACATATTCGTATGTTATACATGTTATGCGTCAGTATCTATGTCGGTTGACCCAGACTCTGATCCGGAGCCGCCAGCTCTCGGCCCCCTGCTCTCTGCCCTCCACAGCTGTCTCCCTCATGTCCCTCCTTCGTTCACCACCAGGTTCTGGAAGGTCTGTGTGAGTTCGTCTCCAGGGCAGCACGCCTACCGCAGGTTTTGGTTCTGCTGCTGCCCTTTTTCTTCCCTTGAGATGCTCCTTCATTCCTCCCATCGCTCTGTCTACCCCATCCTGGCGCTCTCCTGTTTCTGCCTGGGATCTTTTCGTGCCCTCCCAGGAGCCACGGGACTTTTCACCTGTTGGCGACTACAGGAAACCTCCGCAGATGCCTTTCTGGTCCCGCCGTGGGCCTCCGAGGTGTGTGTCTCTGTCTTCTGAACGCTGCTGTCTAGGCCACCATCCGTGTGTTCCTAACAGCCCCCTGGCGTCCAGTATCCCTCTTGCCTGACCTCAAATACAGCAAGATCTTTTCAGCCTTGGTGTTTGTCAGAGCCCGACCTTGCCCCACGCTCGGGCCCTCACACGCCGTTCAGAGCCCCCGTCCCACGGCTGCCGAGCAGACAGCAGGCCCCTTCCCGGCAGCTCCTCTGCTGTGCCCACTGCCCAGGCCTGCAGGACCCTGAACGATGGAGCATAAGGAGAGCTACAACCCCTGCAAGCCCCGACCCCGGGCCTTTCTGCTTCTGTCCCCCAACCCCGTGGCCCCTCCGGGCATAGAAGATGGTGACATCACAGGGTTTGTTTCTTGTTTACTTTCGTCCGTATGAGGCAGGGACCTGCCGTTTGCAGTCGTGCTTGTCACACAAAGCGCCTGCAGGGTTTCCCCTCGTGACACCCTGCTGTCTCTGGAGGCCTGACTGGTGGTCCCATACCTGCCGTGACACCCATTCTGAGAACGTGGACAAGGCCACGGGGCCACCACGACTTACCCGCTGGGCGGGCGCGTGGCCGAAGCCGCACCCCTCCCCTGCGCTCCTTTCCCCGTCATGGAAGCCCCAAATTTAGCTGTGCTCAGAACCTGCCAGATTAAGGCTATGTTGTCCAGCTTTCCTTGCAGCGAATGAGGCTGTGCGATTAACCCTGGCCGAGGGGACATCAGTGGACAGGCCTGTGCTGTGTGTGGGGAGCACAAGCCCTGGACTGCTCTTTGCGGGCGGGCGCGGGGCCCCCGGGGCGCCAGGCTCGAGGGCAACGAAGAAGGTGCCCGGGAGCCTCAGGGCTGTTTCAACGGAGAAAAATACGCTTCCGCGGTGCTGGGGTCTCTTTGTTACGGCAGCCCAGCCCACGCTGCCTGGCACGGTCTCCGGAGATGTGCCTCCCCGGCCTCTGCCCACCGTGCGGGATGGCCCCATGCAGGGCCGGGCGGTGCCGGGCTGCTCAGGCTGGCTCTCTGCTCCGCAACCTTCCAGATTCCTATTACGAGCTGTTGTGGGCACACTGGGCCTGCAGGCCAAGAAAAACACTCCTCTTCCGGCCACACAAGTCACAAAGGGTGACAAAGGTGGTGGCGGGGGTCCCCCAGAGGTGGCCAAGCCAGGCGCCTCCACAGCGCTCTGGACTCTGTGGCGCTGCCAGGGGCCACGGCACAGGACAACTGAGGCCTGGCTCCCGGCCCTCCGTCCGGCCAAGACTCAGGCTCACGCCCTGGAAAGGGTCTTCGCGGCTGTTCTGCCAGCACCAGGCTGCCACCTGGGGCTGTCACGCCCGTTCTGCGGGGTCAAGAGGCTCAAGAAACTCCCCCAGAGGGTGGGCGAGGATCAAGAGGGGGTCCTCGTCACCACCGTCCCTTCCCTCCGCGCCCCCGGCCAGCGCAGACGCCCAAGGGGGTCTGGAGCCCAGGCAGAGGGCGATGGCTTCACCACCCGGCACACACGGCCAACCTGGCTTCGGACCGGACAGAGGGCCAGCCGGGGGGCCGCGGTTCTGAGTGGGTGGCTGTTGGGGACAGACACCGAGAGCAGGTGAGCGGTGTCCCGGGTCAGCGCCCGGCCCCACACATCTGTGTGCTCACGGGCTCCTCCACTGTGACCATCCCGGTGGCCCGTGTCCCTCTTATCTAGGCTCCACTGCTTCTTTATGGATGAAGAAAGCTCTACGTTAACGCACGTGGAAATCAATGCCTCACTTCCCCACAGCATGTTAGGCCACAGAGAGTACGTCCGGTCAGGGTCAGAGGGCAGAGGTCACAAGGCCGAGTCCTTTCCCCAGGACCAGGGCCAGTCGGGATGGGGTGCCCATTCTCAGATGCCCTGTGCTGTGCTGGGCACACCTGCCTGCTGCACCGACAGGAAAGACAGCTGTAGCGAGAGGTTCCCAGGTCAGCAGGGACGGTGGCCTCCACCTCAGCAGATGCACAGAGTACCCGTGCAGACATGCACACGTACACACGCACACGCCTCGCTCCACCTCTCCGCTGCAAACCCACGGAGCTTCGCCACCTGCTCCAGGCCCGAGGGTGTCCCTGAGAGCCCCCTGCCCGACGTGCCTCAGGCCCCGGGAAAGGACGGCCTCCACGTCGTGTGGGCAGCCCTCTCGCTGTGGTGCCCAATGCGGCTGCCCTGCCCCTCCTTACTAGCTCTCGGCCCCTCCTTGCTCTCTGGTCCCCGCCGGCCCTGCTCCCAGCCCGCCAGGGCATGCAGATGGGTCCAGGCCTCAACCTCATCTCCCCAGAGCTCGGAGCAGCTGGGCTGCGTCGAGGCGGCAGCCTAACCCCATGCACTGGCCATCCCCCCCTCCACGTGCCCCCCACCTCCAGCGTCTGCCTCCGCCTGGTCAAGACTCCTAATCGGTTCAGAATCGCAAGTGGACATGACGTGCCATCTCCTGGAGGGGTTCAAGGTGGGAAACGGTCTGCTCCACACCCCCGCCACGGTGCACACGGTAAGTGCATGGTACGTGCTCCATGCACTGCACACAGGTGGGAAGTACCAAGCCAGGGTCTCAGACAGGAACTCGGGAGCGGTGGCCCTGCGCGCTGGACCTGGCCTGAGGTCTCTTCCCACAGTGATGCTGGGATGGGGCGGCCGTGGGTCTGTGGAAGGGAGGCAGCCCTCCAGGAAACCAGAACGAGCAGAGACCCAGCCCATGGTGTGGAAGTGGGGCTGTGGGGACCCTGCACTGCTGGACCAGGGGCTGGACACCCAAGCAGCCTTTGTATCCCTGTGGGTACACACCACGGTCCCCTGAGTGCTGCGGGTGCAGACACGGAGACTCAGCCCCCAAATCACGCCCGTTCCTGGCAGAGCAGAGGGAAGCAGCACACGAATGCCACAGTTATCAAGGTCTTTTTTCTTTTTATTGGCAAAGTAAATATATTTTTATGAAGGACCAAAGAAAATATATATAATTGTAACATATGTACACCAGCTTATAGATTTTATTTCCAATTTACACAACGTTGACATGTTATTAAAAGATTTTCTGTAGAGGCACCTATGTACATTTTATTTACATACATTCATAGGATGTGAAATAAACCTCTCAGAACAAGCTAGTTCATTTGATATTAATTTCTAGACAAAATAAGGAATGCGTTTCTAAATCAGGGTTTGGGGAGGCTCTATCTAGCTCTTCCACACGCAACGCAGCGGCTCCCCTCTCCTCTTGAAGGTGACCCTGGAGGCTGCCGTCTGGATTTGTCTGGAAACAGGATGAGGGCTGAGCCACACCGGTACCGTCGCCCTGGGGCAGCCCTGCATCTGTCCGTCTGCCCTGCACACTTAACTCAAGCTCGTGCACTGCCACCTCGCCGACAGGGGGCTTGTCCCCCAACCCCACATCCACCCGAGGCCAGGTCCTGCACCCCAGAGCTCCCCACCGTAGCCTCCAGGGGTCAGGCCAAGGGAGGCATCTTGGACAAAGCCACGCTCACACTCCATTGCAGCCCCGGACGTCTGGCCTACTTCCTTCTTCCCAGCACGGCTCCCTCCGGGAACTGACATTTCGAAACTGCACACGTCTTCGGCCCCAGCAATCGAGCGCTAGCCCTGGCCCAGGCGGGGAGCCCAGCGGGAGAGCGGCCGGGCCGCAGGAAGGCACTAGGGCCCCCAGGCCGCCTCCGGGCCCCCCCAGGCGGGGGCGGGTGGAGGCCTGGGTCCGCATCCCCGGGCCCCAGAAGGTGGCCTGGAAGACGACAAGTCCCTCTGAAGGAGGCCAATAACTTGTTGCTACAAAGTACCGGGCGGGGCAGGTGGTCGGGCGGCTCCGGCCCGGTCGGGGTCAGGGCCGAGGCGCACGGCTGCTGCGGGGGAAGCGGTGCACCTTGACGTGCTTGGACAGGTGGTCGCTGCGCGCGAACTTCTTCTCGCACACGGGGCACTGGTACGGCTTCACGCCCGAGTGCGAGCGCCGGTGCCGGGACAGCTCGTCCGAGCGCGAGAACCTGTGGGACAGGGCGGTGAGCGGCCGCACCATTGCAGCCCCCGGGCCGGAGCGCTCGGGGTCCGCTGGGAGGGTTGCTGTCCCCCCCTCCCCCGCTGCCCCTCCGGCCCCTCCAGGGAGGCGAGAGCAGCCGACAGCAGGCCTGTGCCCGTGCTGGGGCCTGAGGGCCGCTGGTGACCCCACAGGCCCCCGACTGCAGGTGCACCTCAAGCCCCCCTTACACCAGAACTTGGGGCTCCTGTGAGTGTCCGCACGGGCAGCCCTCCCCCGCGAGAGGAGACAGGCCCGGGGACGAGGCCCCTGCCCAGCCCTGCAGGGAGCTCCCAGCTCCTCTGTCGCTTCCGCCACGGAAGAGGAAGGGCCCTCAGACTTGGCCCCCACGACCCCTGGACCCTACTTTCCTAAAAGCTGGGCCCCCTGAGATGTCCCCAAGCAAAACTGCACCCCTGCGAGGTGTTCCTGAGGGTTTAAATGGTTCCCCTGCAGCCTTCCTATTGTGGCCCCCACCAGCGTGGGAGCCCAGAGGCCACTGGGGAGAAGCAGCTGCTAGGGGACCCGAGCTGACCACAGGGCTTAGCTGTCGTCACTGACTTCAGGCACTCCAGGCTCTCCCCACTCCCGACCCTGGGCCAGGCAGTGAGACCCCACCCTCCCTACACACGCTCTCCTCCTCTGTGCTCTGCCTACACGACCTGCCCTTGGCCTCTCTCACTCCAGGACATATGCACGTACTGTTGTACTGTTCCCTGTCTGGAATGCTCTTCCCGCCGACCCATCCCTTAGAGCGCAGCTCAAATGTCACTTCCTCAGGAAAGCCCTCCAGGACTGCATCCCATCCTCAGCTCCCATGGCACTGGGCACTTCTCTTTTCTGGCCCTGGCCACTGTTGCAACTTCAGTTTTCAACTTTTTGATGAATGTCAGTCTGTGCCACTAGACCGTCAGCTCCATGACGAAAGACATACACGCCATGGCCGGCCCAGTGCCAGCGCATGGTAGGTGTCCAGTACATGCATTTATGCGAAAGAGCGGACACGGCGGCGCCCTTGGGAGGATAGAAGCTGTCAGTCAGTCCTCTCCTGCCCCAGAACACACATGCACACGATGCACACTGCGTACACATACATGCCACACGTGTGCACAGCATGAACACAGGTGCACGCACTCACACGTGTGCACACCACAAAGATGGATATGTGAACACGTGCACACGTAAGGACATGTGAACAGGAGCACCCGGCCCAACAGCCCTGTCCGTGGGCCACGCGCGACGTAGGCGACGTGGCGGCCCGGAGCCGCTGTCCCCCACCCAGCCCAGGCCGGGACTGGCAGCCCACCTCGGGCCTGACCCTGTGTGTGGAAGCCTTGGTCCCACAGCCTGCTGAGGGCCAGGACGGTCCAGCAGCACAAGCCCAGGGAAGGCTCAGGTGGAGGGCAGGAGGGCCTCAGCACCAGATGGGGAGCCCGGCCCGGCGTCCCTCAGCCCCTCCGGTGCCAGGGTCCTGCCCCACGGCGTGACGCGGCCAGGCTTCTGTGCTTGGAGGCTGGCGCTCCACCTCCCATCCCAGGGAGCCAACCGGGGCAGGCAGAGAGCAGTGCTCTTGGCTACCTTTGCCAATAAGGAACTGGCCCGTCTGCCAGGTGAGGAAACTGAGGCTCAGAGCGATGAGTCCCTGATCCCGGGTCACCAGTGACAGAGCAGCCGAGGCCAGAGCGAAGGTCCTGCACGGCGCCCTGCCTGCCCTGCTCCCCACAGAAGGCCTGGCCTCCTCCACAGAGCCGCGCCAGGCGGCGTGCGCCACTGCAGCCCCGTGCAGGCGGGGAGCGGCATCAAGGCTCCTGGCCGTCAGGGCCCGGGCCACCTGCCCCCAGCGGAGCCAGGCCTGCCCCAGGCGAAGGCTCCAACAACGCACCCGCTAGGCACGAGGCGCGGGGTCAGCCGGCCTCCCTGGACCGACGCCAGCACAGCGAGGGCTCGAAGGGGACGAGGGGCTTGCTGGGGTCCCAGAGCCGGTGGGGTGGCCAGATGGCTCAGGCCCCCCCACCCCAACGGTGAGCCTGCGTGGCCCTGAGCAAACTCGCCACCTGTCCTGGGCCTCAGAGTTCGTCCTCTCTCGTCCAGTGAGGTCCTTGGGATCCCTGCCCACCTCCCAGGACTTGTCTCAGAGGCCAAAGTGGTGACACAACAGCCACAGCGGCCTCTCATCAGGGGGGTGCTTGGGAGAGGCAGGTAGCCGAGGGACATCCAGGCCTGAGAAGAGCTGTTCCCAGACACACACCCCCTCCTCTCCCTGTAGCACAGGGGCCCTGAGGAGACCCCCGCCGCACCCTGTCACCACTTTCTCCCATATGGCAGCCGTCACGGGAAGGGGCCAGGTGGGCAGGAAGCTCTGCTACCTACTGCCTAGACCACCCGGGCACGTCACCAAGCTCTCTGAGGCTGCTCCTCCTGGACACAGGGAGGGGCAGACTGGCCGCAAGGACCGCGAGGGTGCAGAGGCCAGGAGCGCGGAGGGCGATCGCTTGACGGCTGTGAGCTGGGCCCTCGTGAGTCACGACCATGATCGGTGCTGCTGGGGTGCAGGCCAAGGAAGCGCAGGGGTCCAGAGGACCCTCCGGAGCCGCCCCTCCGTCAGCCAGGAAGCCACCGCTGTGAACGGTGCCCCAGGGTCATGCAGTGCGCGACCTGCCCGACAGCACTCGGGCTCTGCGACTGCAGGCAAGGGCCGTGGCAGCGCGGCCGCAGCTTCGGATGCTGTCCCTGGCTCTGCAGCCTCAGCCTGCCAGCCTCCTTCTGGGGCCTCCCGCCACGTGGGGCTGCTGGACGTCGTTAGTATCCCTATTAGCTGCGGCAGGAGGGCACTCTCTGTGGATGAACAGGACTTCCCGCTGCACGGAACTGCGTCCGGGAGTGAAGCAAGGAAATCTCTGGGAAGGCGGTAAACAGCTCTTCCTGGATGGTGAGATCCAAATAGGGACAGTCTGGCCCCAGCCCCTTCCAGGGCGCCGGAACCAGGCCACTACGGGGAAAGAAGAGGGCGTACTGGGCTCAGGACCAGACACCGCAGGAAGGGGCGGTTGGTGACCTGGGCCAGTGATGACCTTGGGGGACGCCGTTCACGGCCCAAAGGTGTGCAGGGCAGGGCACAGGACACGACGCCACGGCCAGAACCAGCCCCAGAGGAGGAAGAGTCAACTGCTCGCCAAGACCACCAGGAAGAAGGGAGGGGTCTGGGGGCGGTGAGCTCCCCACACGGAGGGCAGGCCTGGCTCAGGGCGAGGTCCACCCCCCACTGGAGGTGTGGAGGGGGCTGCAGAGACATCCTGAGGCTACAGGCGGGCTGAGGGCCTGGCTCTGCCACGTACCAGCTGTGTGACAGTGGACAACTTCCTGAACCGCTCTGGCCGCAATTTCCCCCTCTCTAAAATGGGACGACAGGCTGATGCCTGCTCGTGGCCTTGCAGCACGTCAGGAGCTTTTGTTTCGCTGTTGCCACCCCTCCGCTCTGTTCTCCCGGCCCATACGCTGAGGCCCGGCAGCTGACAGCCTTGGGGAAGAGATGACTGACAGGAGGTGCCCAGGGAGAGGGTGAGGGCCTGGGGCTGCATGTGGGAGAGCTGTGCTGGCCACAGTCTGTCCCGGCGGGCACGTGACTTGATCATTCTGGGCTTCAGCGTCCCCCTGTGTAAAATGTGATGGTGCCGACACATCACGGGGCTGTTGGGAGGCCTCAAAGAGCCCGTGACATGGGAAGGACAAAGCCAGAACCATCGCAACACTGACGACAGCTACCACTGAAGGAGACCCCCGGAGACACGGGGCACAGAGAGGGCCGAGCATGCCTGTGCTGCGGAGGGGAGGCTGGCGAGCAGACCGTGTGCCTGTGGACCAGAATGAGGAGTTTGGACAGGAATCTGAGTGTACCAAAGTAGGCCTAAAGGCCAGAGTAGGTAATGAGCCCCCCGTGGAAGGAAGTATGCAAGCAAGTATGGGGATCTGTGGAGGGAATTCCAGCTCTGAGAGTCTTAGAACAGTGCCTGGCATTCCGTGAGTGCTTGTGAGCTGGTGACTGTCATGTTATCCCCTGTCCTGTCCCGACGGAGCTGCCCCAAAGCCCATCTATCCTCCCACCCAACTGCTGGAAGGACTCCCTCTACCTCTGTCCCTCGGCTGGAGGCTATGAGCATATTTAAGGGACACTCACGTCACGTGCACATTCCCAGGGGTTCAGGATCCCTGAAGACCAACCGGGGAGAAACAGCCCTTCCAAGGGGCGGGCGCCCTCAGCTTCCGGCCAGGCAGTGCGTCTGCCACATGTGACACCATGAAGGCCAGACCCAGACCTGGGAGAAGCTCCAGGAGTGGCTGACGGCAGGGACGGCTCCCAGGGGGGTCTGGGGAGAGCTCACTGTGCCAGGCACCCACCATGCCTGCCCCTGCCGAGGGGGTCCTGGGCAAGACCCGTGCAAGGGCTCAGACAGTGGCAGAGCTGAGTCCCCACCATACAGCTCCTCCCATGGGGAACTCAGTCCCTCTGAGGCCACCGTGCCGGGGCTGAGTCTGCCCCGCTGTAAAGCACTGTGGGCTGAGTGTCCCGTCTGCTCTCTGGGGCAGCCCAGAAGGGCACAGGTCCTCTCCTCCTGGGGAAGCGGGCCGGCGGGTGGCCTTGACCAAGACCACACCTTCCCGCCCTGCGGCTCCACCCAGCCTCACTCTGAGCGGAGAGGCCCCTTCCTAACAGTCAGCAGTGGCCGGGGACGGTGGCCGGGAACGTGAGGCTGCCCCACGTCTCCACAGCCTAGCCCCGCCACGAGGAGAACGCAGGCCGAGCCCTGTGAGTCTTGGGTGCCTCTGACCCGGAGTGCCACCCACGTGGAAGCCGGGCCGAGCCCCTTCCGGGTCCTTCTCACACTCTGACCTCGTATGAGAGCGACCGCACAACGCCTGGGAAGGGGCGCTGCTGTGCACCCCTGCACACACAGCCCTGGCAGGCAGTGGCAGGGAGCAAGTCCTCACTTTCCAGATGGGAGACGGAGGCTCGCCCAGGGGACCACTGGAGGGCAACGGTGGGAGCGGCAGATCGGGGCTGGGGCTCCGACCTTCGCCACCAGCTGCCCCACCCCAGGCGTCAGGACGCCCTCTCCTGCAGCTGAGCCCCTGCACGGCCCCGAGTCTGACCACTGAACACGGCACCCCGCCAGTGCACAGGCCCCACAAGCTGCCCCCTAAGTACACCCGGCCGGGAGGCGGGAGGCGCGCGGGGCTGGGGCTGGGGCTCTGGAAGAAGCCCTCAGGTCTGTGGGCGCCTTTGGAAAAGCCCCTTCTCTGGCCAGCTCAGCACTCCATGGCGAGGGGCCGCCAGCATCACATCCAACACTCAGGTCACAGCTCCCAGCCACGCCACAGCCTTGGCCAGCCGGGACTCTGCGGCCAGCACCTCTGCCCAGGGGGCCAACTCTCAGATGAGATCCCAGCAGGAAACAAAAGCTGCAAACTGTCCCCCGTGTGCTGTGTGCACCCACGCACACACACGCCCAGGGTACAAACGTGCCACGCGCACACGCACCATCACATTTGGTCACGCAGCAGAGACCCACGTGGAGACGGCAAGGTGCACACACGAGCCCGCACACACAGCCACACGCCCCTCGTGAGGTCCGGTTCTGCACACGGAAGAGCGTGCCTGTTGTTACACGCACACACACGTGCGCGCGCGCACACACACATACACACACACACACACGGAAGCTGCACCAGCCAAGACCCAGACTGTGTCGGCAGCACACGCACCTCCTGGGCAAGCCAGCTTCCTGCAGGGAGGGTGTCCTAAACAGGGGAGAGCCGCCGGGGGCACCCCTGAGCGTGTCGGCTCCCGACCTGCTGCCTGAGCTTCAGGAAAAGGTGGACGTGCCCTCCGAGAAGGTGGGCCCCGCGGGGGCCTGGGGGAGAGCCACAAGGGTGCCGCCCAGCTCGGCCTCCCATGGGCTGGGGAACCCTGGGCAAGCCCCCACCCCCACCCCTTGGAGAGCTGGTTCCCCCCACGGTGCCGCCCCCACCCCCACCCCTTGGAGAGCCGGTTCCCCCACGGTGCCGCCCCCACCCCCACCCCTTGGAGAGCTGGTTCCCCCCACGGTGCCACAGAGTCGAGAGCCTGGAAGGAGTCTCCCACCCACGGTGCAGCACCCCTAGTCTGGTCCTCGCTCTCCCTTGGCCTTTCTGGCTTCCCAAACCCACCGCCAGGTACCCCGTGCGGAGCACAGCCTAGGTGCCCCAGGACCCTGTAAAGACAGCTGGCGCCTCTGGTCGGGCTGTGACTTCTCTAATCTGATGCCTGGCTTCAAGTCCCTTCTGCAAAGTGGCGCGCCCTTGGGCAAGTTACTTAGCTGCTCTGTGCCTCTGCTTACTCAGCCGTAAAGGAGAGTAAGGGTGGTACTTACCCTTGGGGGCACCCCGAGGCACGAGGAGCGGTGCACACGGCTGCAGCCGCCCTGCACTATTCTGAGCTGCCCCGTCACTACCATGAGAGCCCTTCTGTGTGGCCCAGCCCCTCTCCTCCAGCAAGGGCGCAGCCTTACCTGGTCACTGTGAGACTGCAGACCAGGGATCTGGAGGCACCAGAAAACCTCTGGGCGGTGTGCCAGCTCTGGCCCTGCCCCTGCCCACCCCTCTCTCCCCTTCCTAAGCAGCCTTATCTAAGGGTGGGGAGTGTGGCCTCGGCAGCACAGCCGGGAGCGTGGAGACGCCCGGCCTGCCGCCGCCATACTGACCTCCAGCCGCAGCCCGGCCAGGTGCAGGCGAAGGGCTTCTCCCCCGTGTGCCGGCGCAGGTGGGCCTTGAGGTGGCTGCTTTTGGTGTACATCTTGCTGCAGCCGGGGAAAGTACACTTGTGCATTTTGATGAGTTCTGCCGCCGGGTTCTTGGGGAACTTCTGGCCCATGAGGAGGCCGGCGGAGCCGGGCCCCAGGGGTCCCGACCCAATGGGCTTGGCGGCGATGGGCACAGGGGCGATGCGCACGAACTTGGAGGGCAGGTTCAAGCTGGAGGAGGGCACCGCCTGGGGCACCAGCGTGAAGGTTTGCCCCTGGATGTTGACCAGGAGCTGGGCCACCTTGACGCTCTCAGCGGCCTGCCCGGGGGAGACGGGCTCGGCGCCAGATTCCTGCTTCACCTGCACCGGCTGGATCTGCAGCAGCACGGGGATGGGGCCGTCGGGGGCGGGACCCCCACCCGCGCTCTGGCTGCCGCCCACACTGGCTCCCGGCGGGGGGGGCACAGCGCTCTCTCCCACTGGCCCCAGGATGGAGGTAGCTCCTGTGTGGCCCGGCGGAGAGCTGGCCGCGGGCCTCCAAGTCCTTGCTGTTGCTTTCTGGGGCCTCCTTCACCCCTGGCTCCATGTTCTCCTCCAGAAACTCTTCGATCTCCTCCAGGGTGGGCTGGAAGGGCCTCGGGACGTCATCGGGGTCTCCCACAGGAAACTCGGGGAAGGAGAAATGCTCCCCCTTCACAGGTGCCGGTGCTTTCCGCCAGGTCCCCCAGGCCATGGGGCCGCCGTTGGCCCCAGCGCTGCCACCACCGCCGCCGCCGCCCAGCGTGGCCTGGGACAGCAGGAAGTCCAAGATGCTGTCCTGGCCCTCGGCCCCGGGGCCGCCGCCGTAGCAGGAGCAAAGGGCTTGCGAGTCAGGGCTGGCACAGGAACAGAGGCTGGAGGCGTCACTGTCGTCCTCCGAGAGGGGCGAGGGCAGCATGTGGTATGCCCGTCCGCCGGCCAGCCTGTCACCCAGGTAACCAACGGGGTACTTCAGCGACGAGAAGGTCTCGTCCACTGGAAGCAAGTGGTCCACCATGCTGGCCTAGCCGTGCCGGGGGCGGCTGCGGAGAGGAAGGAGGAGGCCCAGTCAGGAGGGCAGCGCGCTCACCCGCCACCTTGGGGGCGCCTGACCCCACTCTGTGGCCGGCCACAGCCGCCCACTGCCGAACGTCTGGGTCCTGCGTCCATCCTGGCTCACGGGAGAACTCTGTCTGCAAGAGTGTTTTCTGAAATTGCACCACCTGTTTGCAAAAGTGCTCTCCAAGCCCATTGCACAACCCGGCTCTTGTGGTTGCACAGAGATTTTCCAGAACAATTCTGGGAAGGAACATGCGTGTGTCTGCAAGTGACTGGGTGTGAGTGCACGGGAGGGAGAGGGTGAGCGTGTGAGGAGGCCCTCGGCACCCCGAACAGCCAGGTGGCACCCCCGTCCAGCTGAGCAGAGTCACTGCCATCCCAAGGACAACCGACCTCAGCCTCATTCTTGCAGAATCACTGGAGGGGGCAGGAGAATGGCCACCTGCCCTCTGACCCCGTGCTGCTGCAGCTTGGGTAGGGTTTCCAGATTAAGCAAATAAAAATAAAGGCCACCCAGTTAAACCTGAAACTCAGATTCTAAAGAATGAGCAACTATTTTTTTTTTTTTTTGCTGTACGCAGGCCTCTCACTGTTGTGGCCTCTCCCGTTGCGGAGCACAGGCTCCGGACGCGCAGGCTCAGCGGCCATGGCTCATGGGCCCAGCCGCTCCGCGGCATGTGGGATCCTCCCGGACCAGGGCACGAACCCGTGTCCCCTGCATCGACAGGCGGACTCTCAACCACTGCGCCACCAGGGAAGCCCTGAACAACTTTTAATATGTGTGTCCAAACGTTAGATGGGGCAGGCTTATATTAAAGAATTATTTCATCTGAGATGCAAATATAACTGGGCAGTTTGTATTTTAATCAGGCAAGTCTAGTTGGAGGCAAAAAATTAGACGCCCTCACGGGCTGTTTCCCCATCTGAAGGGGGACAGCCCCCCACCCTCCAGTTCTTGGACCCCTCCTGTCTCAGCTGCCTGCTCTGTGAATCAGGGAAGGCAGGGACAGGCCTTCACAAAACGCTCTCAACGGGGCCGGCACCTTCCCCGGGGCTTTCCTAGCGGTGCAAGGGCCAGGCCCTGTGGCGGTAGCCCGAGGGAGCAAAAGGCACCCAGGTCCCAGAGCCCAGCTATTATCTCCTTTGACTTCACAACTGCCTGCTGCATGGAAAATAAGACCCCTTGGGCTGCACCCCGTGGATCACTCACCACCTCAGGAAGGCCCAGCTCACGCCCGTCTCCCTACTGGACCAGGGACTCCATGAGGGCAGGCTGGGCCGTCGGGTCGCAGCTGTGTCCCCAGCTCCTGGTGAGGCAGCTGGTGCCCAGGAGGGGCTCAGAGAACGTCAGCAGAGAGGAGAGGGGGAAGCTGAAGGCCATGCTGGGTCCGGTGTCCAAGGAGAGTCAACAGTGTCTGGCTGTGACAGGGCCACCTCTGTGGACCTTTGTCCCCACCCAGTGACCATAGCGGGCTGTTTGCTGAGGTTGAGGAAAGGGTGTTCTGCACCCAAAGCCAGAGAGTCTCTGCTGCCTGGCATCACGTCTGTACCCACCCCCTTGCTTTGTCGCGAGCACCAGTCCTGCACCTGGCACCCAGCACTGCCCAATGGTCAACAGGCCCAACCAGGGGCAGGGACCTCCCAGAGCCAGGTCATCATTAGTGACCTTGGGCAAGGCCTCGCTCTCCCAAACCTCATTTTCCCATCTGTTCCATGCTCTGATGGCCGTATCCAGGAAGCTAAGGCAAGGTGACAAGTTTGCACCCAGGGCAGTTTTGCAGGAGAACGTTTGGCCTTTTGGTTTTAAATATTCAGCTAAGCATTTAAAACTGGGAGTTTAAAAACATACACTATTCACCAAATCGGGTGCTGAGAAGGAATGAAAATGCCAGATAATGTGAAGAACAGAGTCCACACTCAGCCTGAGACACCCCCCTCCCCTGTCGCCCACGCTGAGCTCCTGCCTCTGCAACTTACCAGCTGTGTGACCTTGGGCAGGTGGCACAACCTCTCTGTGCCATGTTTTGGATGGGGATCCTGCCAACTGTGCCTAGTTCCCGGGTTTTTGTACCACCAATGAGCTAACACACGCTGAGCACTCACTACAGGGGCAGGCGTCCATGCAGATGCCCGTCAGGACTAGCCTTCAGGGTTAGCCTCAGTGGGTGAGTATGTGGTCTTTCTGCCCCTCTGCTGTGATGCTTAGGAATCCGGGGACTCCAGCCTTCCTGGAACCAGGACTGAGGCGGTAAGGGGCAGATTGGGCCGTGTTCCTGCCCTTGAAACTCTCCCCTGAAATGTGATCACTAACTGAATATTCCATGATATTAAGGAATTACAGTTAATATTTTTAACTGTGATGATGTATTGGGGTTGCTACACACTTTTCAAAGGACGCCTTACATTTTAGAGATATAAACTGAGGTATTCACAGATTAAATGATACCAAAGAAATAGAGGGGGAAATAAATAAGTAGAGTAGGGCGGGGTAGGAGGAAACTTACAGATTCCCAAGGAAATGGGACCCAATCTCGTCCCAGCAGCCCAGCACCTGGACCCTGCCCATCCGCCCCAGACCTCAGCTCCACCTGCCCCGCTCGCACTGGCTGTGCCCCAAGCTCACCAGCTTCATGGCCTCAGGCCAGGGCCCTGGCTGTTTCCCCTCCGTGGACCCCTCTTCCCCAGCACTCTAGGAGGGAGTACCTTATTTAGATCTCAGCTCATAAGTCACTCCCCGTGGGACCTCCCTGATCACCCTCGGTTACACCACCCCACATCGCAGTCTTCCTAACAGTCGCCACTGCCTGAAACTATCTTAGTTATGTATTTGTGTACCTCATTTTCTGTCTACCTCCCCACCAGAATATAAGCCGTTCTGACTGTTACCCCAGAGTCTGAAACAGGACCTGGCAGAACTTTGCTGACTGAGTGAAAGGGCTGGGGCCGGGGTGGGGAAGCAGCAGCAGATCGCCTGGGTCCTAACGCAGGGCTCATCGGCCTGGGTGGACGCAGGCACTGAGAGCCCAGTAGGGGCTGCGGGGTGCCGGGCGCCGGCCCTGAAACACAGCAGCACGTGGCACGGCGAGAGACGCAGGCTGCGTGCAGGGGGAGGGACGCCCTGTTCCGGACTCCGCCCCTCCCCGGCCCGGCCAGGCCTGCTGTTTATCCTCCCGGGGACACAGCGGCTGCAGGAACAACATGTAATTGATAACAAGCCCAGCGCCGGCCAAGGGCCTTCCATTGGGTCAGCGTGAAAATCACGGGGGCGGCGGGCGGGGGCCGCCCTTCAAAATAAGAGTCTCCACTCCCGCGCCGCCCCGCAGGCCCCAAAGTCGCGAGCCCAGCGTCCTCGCACCTGTGGGGCGGCGGGGCTCCCCACGAGCCACCCGGCCCTTGAGGGGAAGTGATTTCAGGGGCTCAGGCACTTGGGGATTTTGTCACCCGGGCCAGAAAACAGCGGGGGTGGGGGGAGGTCCACAGGGGGCCGACCGAGGGGAGAGAGAGCGAGCGGACCGCTGCGGCGAGCGGGGTGGCTTCCCCGCTCCGCTAACCGCGCGGGGGTGCGAGTTCCTGCCGTGTGACTGCGTGTGCGGGCCGTGGTGAGAGCCGGGAGGGGCGTCCGCGACACGCTCGCGCGTGGAGCCGCGTGGTGTCCCCGCGTGAGTGGGAACGTGTGTGGGAAAGGGGGGCAGGGGGAGCCTGGGGCGCCGCCCGCGGGGCACCGAGCCCTCGGCCCGCGCCCCCTCCCGCGGGCCGGCTGCGGTGACCGACAGTAACCCCTCCGCCCCTCCCCGCCGCGCGCCCGCCCGCCCGCCCGCCCGCAGGCCCCGTCGCGCCCGCCATATGGGAGGCCGGCCCGCGAGACGCGCACGGACACGCGGGGCCAGGCGCCTAGGCAGCGGGCCAGCCGCGCGGGGAAAGTGCCGGTGGGCACGTGGGGTCGCTGACCCACCAGCCTGTCCGCCCCCGGCCCCGCGCGGGGCTACCCCGCTCCTCCGACATTTCCTCCGACGCTCACGCGGAGCCTGGGACAGCCGTGCGGGCGCCCGGCCTGGCGTGCAGAGGCCCGCCCGCGCCCCCCGAGCTCCCCTGCGCCCCGCCAGCCCCCTGCGCGCCAGGCCCGGTCCACTCGCGTCCGTCCTCGCCGCGCCGCTCCCACCTGAACTCGGCGCACGGCCGGCCGGCGGCCAGGCCCGGCGGTCCCGGGGCCCTGCGGGCTGCGCTGGGGGCGGCGGCCGCGCGTCCTGCACTCGCTCTTGGTCGCCCCGGCCCGCGTCGCTGCGGCGGAGCCCCCGCCGCCGCCGCCCGCTCGGCGCTCACTCCCGGGCTCACGTGACGCGGCGGGCGCCGCGAAGGCTCGCAGGAGGCTCGGCCCCGGGCGCGCGCCCCATTGGCCAGCGCCGCGCGTCACGCGCCCCGGCCCCGCCCCCTCCGGCCCCCTCCCTTCGCAGTGGACTCGCGGCGGCCGCGGTGTCCGTTCCCGAGGCTCTAGCCCAGGTGAGAACGTGGGGCTCCGAGAAGGGCCCACGCGGGGTGGGCGCCGCGGGGCAGCCCCGGCCCGACCCGCTCTCCCCGGCTCCCACCTGCAACCCCGAGCGGGCCAACAGGTAAGCCAGGACTTGTCGGGGACGCTGCTGGAGAGATGCGGGCGGGTGTCCGGCCAGGTGAGCCTCCCGCTCCCTCGGGAGAGCGCGCTCGCTGGAGTCCGCAGGAGCCCCTCGGGGACAGGAAGCACGAGGCGCAGAGTGAGCGGCCCAGGAGACACGTGAGCTGAGGGTGCCGCTCACCCAGCGCGCCCTTTAACCACACCTGTCGGATCCTCAGGCAACATTCTACAGATGAAGAGAAGGACTCTGAGGCCGTGGTCCTCCCAGCACACAGTTGGTAAGCAGGGAGGAGGGGTGAGCAAGCCCGTCCGTCTGCCCCGAGAAGGCATCTTCCGGGCAACCAGGATGGTGGGCAGAGAGCGCCTTCTACGGAGTTGCATCCTTTCCCTTCCTGGCTTGGGAGGCGGAGAGCGTTTCCGTTCCTCCCCAGGACACTGCTAGAACCGCAACTGATAGCCAGGACCTGTCCAGGCTCTCTGGAAGGCTGTGGGTCTGGGCTCCCAAGTACATGCCGGGCACTGGATCCTGCATCCCGGGGCCGTCCCCGTGCACACAGCAGTGCCAGGGATGCAGCTCCTGCTACCACGAGGGGCCAAACTGGGGCTTGGCCGGTGGGTTTGGAGGACGCTAGCGTCGAGGATGATGATGATAATGATGCTGTCTGCACTGCCCGAACGTTCATGGAGGCCGTGGCCAGAAGCTGCAGAACAGACGGAGTTCACCCTTTCCTATAGAAGAGACAGAGGTCTGGAGGGTTCAAGCTCACTGCCTTGTCGCCTGTCATTGGTCCTTTGCTCCTCACACACTCTCAGGCCAGTGTCCCCCATCTCTTCGGTGAAAATCATACCGAAAAGTCAGAAGAAGCTTGGAAACAAAGACACATCCATAGCTTCAGCACACAAGGAAGCTTCGGCACAGGCTAGTGAGAAGCTGAGCAGAGAAAGACAAGCACTGTACGGTCTCACTTATACGTGGAATCTAAAGCAGAAACAAAAACAGAATGATAGAAAAAGAGATCAGGTTTC